TCATGATCAATCATCATTTTCCTGATTGAATGGCCACACATTTGATCTAGCCCATTTTTCAGACACAACTGGGCTCTTCCCTTTTTATTGGCCTCTCAAAAGCATCGACTGAAGGAGGTGGACCTGGTCTTCAAAAACAACCTCAGTTTCGTGGCAACGAAGGTTGATTTTGATGGGAATCCGCTGGTTTATTTGGGTACCAACCCAAATAGAAAGCCCGGGGGTTTATAAATCCGGGGTTGACATTGACCTTCCTAAATTTGAACGTGTCCTCTTTACTTCCACATCAGAAAATCCACTGAACAGGGGGAACTACTCGGAATATATCCTATTTGTTTTTACCCCAGCAAATCCAAATCTCACCACTTCAATTTCTATATGTATATATAAATATAAAAATATATAAAATATTTGTTGGTTGATCTCCCTATTCTTGGTGGTTAACGTAGCCAGATCAGATGGCCACGTGACCACGGACCCCGCCCAACTCCACAAGTCGTCGCCTTTTCGCTTGCCCAAATTTCGCTGCCGAGACTTGCTGAACGCAGCCTACAACATCTATGCGGGCATCACGGACGCTTGGCGCGACACAAGCGACGGCCCGCATGGGGGCCATCGTGAGAAGAATTTTGGGAATGGTTGAAGAAGTTGAAGGATAGGGCCCCTGGGCCATCAAGAAGTATGACTTGATGTTCTTATGTCCAATTATCATCCACTCATGGTGTTTTTTTTTGGGGGGGCCCCCAAGTTTGATCACCTGCTTTCCAGATGCGGTCCCTATAGCCATTGCTAGCAGCCTCCGCCCGTGGTTTGAGAAAGCTATCGCCATGTCCTTCTGGAGCCTCGTGCTTGGGCTCCTGGCAGCGCTGGCCTGTGCCGTTCGGACGGGATCCACCGGCACCAGCTGCTGCGTGAATCAGGGGACCAACTTTGAAGCGTACCTTGGTCGACGCCTGTGTTTGAGTTTGCAGCTGAGTTTGGATGTTTGGATGGTATGAAACAGTTGAACAAAGAAGAAACAACTTCTTTGTGATGGGCGATCCTTTTGGTAGACATCATGGTAGTTAAGTAGAGATCACAAGAGGAATGCACCTGGGTGCTTGGGCGTGCCAAGATGAGAAGTCGGTCTTTCTGGTTGCAAGGCTCAACGTTATCAGTTGGAGTCGGGATTTGTTAAAAGTAGGAGATGCAATCGCAGCCCGCATGAGTGCTACAATATGCTACAAGATTCCAAGGCTTCTGGTGGTATTTCCAGTCTGTGGTTTAGGATTCTGTGATCATATTCTGTGATTACACCCTCTGGTAATTTAACATAGCTATTGAACATGGCCATAGAAATAATGGATTTACCCAGCTAGAAAATGGTGATTTTCCATAGTTATGTAAACGTTTACCAGAGGGTATATGTTATAACTGGCTGGTGGTTCCATGCTAGCTGGGATGATTCTCCAAGGAAGGACCTCATGAAGATGTGCGAGTTTTTGCTGTCCGACCCCCACGAGAAAAGTGATGCCGAACGCCTTAAGAATGCAAACAAGTGCATGAGCAGGAGCCAGTTGAAGTGGTAAAAGCTGAAGGTGAACTCAGGTTCACTGGTCGAAGTTGCCAATGGTTTGGGAGAAGGCAGAAATTCAGATGCAACTTGTAGGAAGGATCAAGATATATCAAGATAGATATATCATGATATATCAAGATCATCCCTCTCCAAACTTAGACACTTCAGTCCCAAAACAGGATACACCTGGCACTTCCCGCAGGATGCACCTAAGCGAGATGGGGCTGCCGGACATGAAGATTTCGAAGCAGCCAGAGGACTGCGAGATGTTCAGAGCGACCATATGACCTCAGCATCAATATCCATCAATATCCATCAAGGATGCTTGGAAAAGGGACTCATCCCGAGAACAGAACGGAGCCCGGGTGTCTCCGCCGGGGTTGAGCGTCAGGACTTTCGATTTGTCGGTAAGCAAGTTTGAGTGTCGACTCTACATTTTTGGGATTAATCATCCATCTCCACGTAAATGTGTGTAGACATAGTGATATTTGTGTGATTCTTGGACCTTCAACGGGGCACCCCAGCACTGTAAAAGGGATGCTTGATCAACCAATATTGGGTAGTTCAGTATGTCCCAAAATCCTTTGGACACCTACGTTCCTCGAAAAATCTTCAGTTGAGTAGAAGTAGAACTTGCTTCGTTTTGGGCCCCTTTTTATTTTGGGACACCAGAGGAATGTAGATCATTTTCCGAATGGAAAACATGGGCGTTCCTATGTTAGTTTACCCCAGACCAAGGATTTTGTTGTCTGGATATGTAGCCAAATGGGGATAGAATCATCAGATGCAGAGTGGTGAATGGTAGGTGAAAACTGCTTAGAACATTTAAGAAAAAAACCATCCCTGAAATGTAACACACCCAAATGAAACCCTTGCGGAACATGTTTGATCTATTCGTGAATTGGGGTCCCAGTTTTTGGGATTCACAATTTATCCTGGTGACATTGCCATTTTTGGATGCATATATATATAATGTATATATATATATATGTATATGTATATGTATGTATATATATATATATGTATGTATATATATATATACACATAAATCATTTGAACATAGTTGAAGTCCTGAAATTTCGATGATCACCGTCCCATTTTTTCTTCGTGACATCACTTTTCCCTGCTCCTGGTGCTATCCCCTCCGAGTCGTGCAGGACTCCGCGGGTTTTTTGGAAGCCTTGGCCGCGGCGCAAACCTTCCAGTCCGGGGGCTCAGGATGAGCGCCATGGACGGGGCTTCGGCTAGCTATGAGTTTATATATATATATATGTATATACACATGGCAATTGTGATAGGGACAATGATGATGATGATGATGATGATGATGGTGATGATGGTGATGATGATGATGGTGATGGTGATGATGATGGTGATGATGATGATGGTGATGGTGATGTTGATGATGATGATGATGATGATGATGATGGTGATGGTGATGTTGATGATGATGATGATGATGGTGATGGTGATGATGATGGTGATGATGGTGATGATGATGATGGTGATGGTGATGTTGATGATGATGATGATGATGGTGATGGTGATGTTGATGATGATGATGATGATGATGGTGATGGTGATGTTGATGATGATGATGGTGATGATGATGATGGTGATGATGATGATGGTGATGTTTTCTGTTTGATGCTTCATGCTTCCCTGACTTTTATGGTGCATGTTTTCTTATTCATTATTATTTTTATTTTGATGTTTTTGAATTATGAATTATTGTGTGATTCTATTCCTTCTTTTTCTGCTCTTGTATTTTTTTTTTCTTTTGTTTATTCCTGCCCTTATGTTGTTCTTCCTGCTGATGCATTTTTCTTGATTCTTATTATTTGATGCACTTCTTTCACTGTTTCTTTTTATTCTTGTTTATTCCATGATTCTTTTTATGATTATGCTCTGGTTCCTGTCTTCTTTCCTTCTGTTTCTGATTCTTACCTTCTTCTGGTTTATGACTGCTTCTTCTTTTCCTTATTCTTCTTCTTTTCTTCTTCTTCTGACTTGTCTTCTTCTTCTTCTGTCCCTTTTGCTTCTTCCTTCTTCATTTGTTTCTGCTTCTTCTTCTTATCTTCTGCTTCTATTTTCTTTTTCTTCCTGTTGCTTCCTTACCTTCTTTTTCTTTTTCTTCTTTTCTATTCTTCTTTTTCTTCTTCTTCATTTTATGCTTCTTCCTTCTTCCTTCTTTTTCCTTCTTCTTCCTTATTTTTTTCTTCTTCTGCTTCATCTTTTTCTTCTTCTTCTTTCTTCTTTTTTTGCTTCTTCTTCTATTTTTCTTCTTCTTCCCCCTTCCTTTTTCTTCCTTGATTTCTTCTTTTTCTTTTTCTTCTTGTTCTTCTTCTTCATTTTCTTCTTCCGTCTTTGTGCTGTCTTCTTCTTCCCCTTTCGCTTCTTCTTCTTCTTTCTTTGTTTCTTCTTTCTTCTTCCTTTTTCTTCTTACTTCTCTTTTTCTTCTTCCTTCTTCTTTTTCTTCTTCTTCTTCTTTTTCTTCCTTTCTTCTTACTTTTTGCTTATGATGATGATGGTGATGATGATGATGATGATGGTGATGATCATGGTGATCATCATCAACAATCAAACTTGCGGCTGTCTCCTATTTTTAGACAAACCCATATAGGTCAAGGGTCAATACCAAACAAAACCGAACATTTGATGATTCCGTTCTTTGTTAATTATTCATTCACATCCCAACATTTTCTGACGATTCAGGCAACATTTTTGGGATGTGCGTAAGGGTATTTGAGTCAAGTGACTCATGCCCATATTTCTTGGGGAGCTCGTGCGCCCACCAATCGTACATCATGGATCCCGCCCACAGGTTTTTGTTCCCTTCTATTGCAGACTGCAGGCATGCAAACAAGACCGTTTGGACCAAGAGTTACTGGTGGTCTGACCACAAATGTCCCGAAGGCGCAGTGGGAAAAGTGGGAAGAAAAGCTGGTTGAGTCGGGGGTTTTACATGGTACCATGCAAAATGGAAATTGAGCAGACAAAGATGCGAACTTCACCAACCAAGATGGTGATTCAGTTCATATTATATGCAGTATTATGCGGTTATATACGCACAATATCATCCCTAACTTAACCTCTGGGCTGATAGCTGATCCTGACGATCGCCAGATTTTTCCCAGGACTTGTGTGTTTTTTCAAATGGAGGATTTCACCCAGTTATGGCCGTTTTCATAGGGAAGATGATGATTTTCCGAGATTCGGACTTGGGGCAGCCTATTGGCAGACAAAGGCATGGCGGCATAGCTAGCCATGAGGTGGGACCAGCATGCCGGGTCCTGCACGTTCCTGGAGGGCCCTGGGTTTAGCCTCTGATGTCATCAAAGGTGGTTTTTTCGAACATGGCGGATCTTTTCCATTCGTTTCCCAGCGAACTAAACCATACTAAACCATCCAAATGGAGGTTTCCTGAAATGGGGGTACCCCCAGATATCATCTCATCCATTGATGGATTTTCTATGAAAAAAACTGCATAAACTTCCATTTCGTTCGGGGGATCTTCCGGCTACGTGAATTTTCTTTCGCAGGAATGGAGCTGGTGACAGACCCGGTGGTCCAGTCGTGGCGTTGCGATGCGGTCGGCTTGCAACTGGTCCCTGGGCATCGGTGGTTGAGACGTACTTGGCTCATTTCGGTGCCATGAAAAACCACCGGGATTCATGAATATGGCGTAGGTAACATATAAACCCCCCCAAAAAAAACCATGTAAAACACGCTGTGTTTTACATTACATGACCAGTTTTTTTTCATTTTAATAGTTCCTTTGTACTGGGGCTAAGACCGTCCCCAAAACTACGTTGACCATGGGTGATCATGGCATGCTATCCACTCCAGGATGGGCCAGTTACCAGGCATTTCACAGAATTTCACCTACATACACATATCAATATATCATCAATTAGATCTAACATGGAATTTTCTCCTGGAATCTCCCCCAGTAACTCGAAACGCCACGAAACAAATCATTTTCGCCGTCCAAGGTGGAGGTTTTGACCTCATTGCCCGTTGAGCGCTATGCAACTCGGGAGGTTCTGGAGGACGCGCACGATGAGATGGCTAGAGCCAAGAAGGTAGCGGAGGACATCGAGTGCCTTGGTGAGATGATTTTGATGATGATTTCAGGATTTTATGAGTTTTTTTGGTTGGTGGTTTAATTTGATTCAAAGATGGTTTAATGGAATTTCATGGGATTTGATGGTGGTTTGATGGGATTTCATGGGATTTTATGGTGGTTTAACGGGATTTTATTGGATTTAATGGTGGTTTACTATGATCTTATGGAATTTAATGGTGGTTTTATGGGATTTTATGGTATTATGTTTTTACCTTGGATTTTATGGTAGTCAATTGATAGGCATTTATCATCATTTAATCAACAAAGATGAGGATATGAATGGGCAATACCCGCCGATGTCATCCAACGTGGTGTGCTGGAAAATGCTCCATTTTTTCCATTTTTTTCCAACAACATTCATCGCGCGGGGCTCCAGCAACCAGATCAACGATCATGAGAATCCAGACCTCGGCACAGCGGCACCCAAGAAGACCTGGATCTGGGGTCGCCCGCCCATTGCTTGCTGACTTATTTCCTTGCTTTGCCAAGGGATTAAGTCACTCACATCCTTGCAGTTCCTTGCAGTTCCCGCACTTTGTCCATGAGGCGCAGCGACAAAAAGTTCGACGACTTCGAGTCCAAGGCAGAGAAAAGCCTCGACACAATCGCGGCAAACCAGGCAGCGGTCAGTCAGTGGTCCAAAATCACCCAGCACTGGCTTGGGATGGGGGCGTGGTCATGTCGACCTAAAATCATCCTAAAACCGAAAATTGAAGTCACAACTCAACATGGATTGGCCAAGTCAATTGGGACTATTGAACATCTCGTTGGTGGTTTGGAACGTTTTTTTCCCATATATTGGGAATTTCATCATCCCAACTGACTTTAAGTCCATCATTTTTCAGAGGGGTTAGCAGCAACCACCAACCAGATGATCATTAATTAACCATATAATAACCATTCATATTAACCATTATTAACCAGGTATATTAACCACAATGGTAGGTCAACCACCAACCAGACATTCGATTCCATTGGATCCCACCCATTGACACAACTGGATGACGACAGCACCGACCTGGATGACTATCTCACAACCAGTACTCTTATAAATATATATTGTTTCTGTTGCCTAGCTATGATTACATGCCTGTTATTTATATCAATTTAGATATGATGGAAAGCTCTCCGGTAGTCAAAATTGGCATTTTTGTTTCCCATTTACAGATGTTTTTCCAGTTAAGACTTCCATTTCGTGCTCGCACTGCCATGTTTGATCACAGCGGCAATCGGGGACTGCTCGGAAGCGACGATATTCCAATGGATGGAGTCCTTCTTAAGCTTCACTTGATGAATCCGTTGATGTGACTCATACATATAATATATAAACATGTAGATATATAGATAGATGGCTGGATGACGGATAGATAAACAGCAAGACAGACAGACAGACAGACAGACAGACAGACAGACAGACCGGCCGACAGACCGGCCGACAGACAGATCGAATCGATCGATCGATCAAACGACATATAGTTAGTTTGAATGTGCTCTAGGTGGCAGCTATTCCTAACACGGGTCATGTACAGTGCCTGTCGTAGGGTCTCACATGTTTGCCCCAACATTTTCGGCAATCACCTCCATAAGTTGGGATATTATCATAATCCCTACAATTGTGGTTATATAATCCACTTCAGGACCCATAATTCTACTTATACAATGATACTTGTGGTTATACTTATGATCCTACTTACCCTCTGGTAAACTAACATAGCTATTGAACATTGCCACAGAAATAGTTGATTTACCCATAAAAAAATGGTGGTTTTCCGTAGTTTATTATGGTTCCACATGGTTCCACTGCACCCCCAAGTATCTGAATTTTTCATAGAAGCCATGCAGGTCGAGGCTTATCCTTGGTTATCCATCCCTGTGAGGCGGCGCAGAAAGAACTCGCCAAGAACGTCGTTGCGGAAGCGCAGGAGTGGAAGAAAAATGGCGGGCTTAGCCTGAGGCAAATGACCATGATAACAACAACAGCAAAAATAATGGTGACGATGAAGAAGAAGAAGAAGAAGAAGATGATGATGGCGGCATAGATTCGGAATAATAGTAACCGCAAATTTATGAAGAGTCATCAAGCCCAAATAGTCGAATAAGGCCATTCCTGGGACGATCCAAACAGTGACCCAGCGACCAGGACCATGTGTGATGCGCCACGTTTAATAACGTGCATGGTTGCGAAATCCGATAAACCACCGAAAGGATGGTTGAAACCCTATAAATGATGGGATGTGTAGCACCTATCAACTGGTGCAGGATTTCGCAACCATCCACAGTATGTTGCCTTCTTGATGTTTCTTGGAAGGGTTATATCTGAATTCTAATGACGCCACGCCGCGACGGAACAATGGAATGATGGGAATTGCATTCGGGTAACTCTCTCAAAGTGGCCAAACTTTTCAGGTCCGCGACAGTTTTTTTGTTTTATTAATTTAAATGGATGAACATATATATATATATACATATATATATATATACATATATATATATACATATATATATATATACATATATATATATATATGTATTAGGTGGTTTGAGACCCCAGCTGCGACTATTTCGAAACAAGCCTCGTAGAACCGCACGGCCATTGGTAGCGCCAGCATGACCCCTGATTTCGGGTCCCCTTGTTTAGCGTATGTGTTGGTTCATAAATCATTATATACCAGGTGGATATGTATATATATATATAACCTAGGAATGGAACATGACACTTTTTTCATGTGTATTAGCGTTGTGCGCGCCGGCACACTCCCAACATGAGATAATCATTAGCTTGGTGCCCGCTGACCGGGTTTAGGGTATCAGATTTTTGATGGACGAGATATTGTATTTGCTCCAGGATGCCAGTTCAGAAATAGCAGGAATATGGTGGAAACCTACCCCAACCAGGGCTTTGTTTCACAATTGAAGGGTGTACAGCAGAAATCCCTGCGTGCATGGGATGCCTATTATGCACCAGTTATAGGAATTAAGCAATGCAATCCCAATTGCGCGAGTGAAATTGTCAGGGAACCATACAGAACCACATTTCGTACAACTAAGTTAAATCCCATGCAAATTTGAAGATCACCTGCCTAAAACATGATGGTTTTCCAAGATGTATGATAATGAACAAAATACAGATTACCGTTCCCCCATGCGTGAATTATTGATAGCACGCAAACCGGATGCCATACACCTCCGACTGGGGATGATTTACCCGGGTAAATTGGATGATGTCAGCAAATCTACATGCTAGGTCGATATTACATGGATAGACTTCACCACATTATGTGGGCAGTTTAACAAAACACAAGGATGTTGATGATTAGTTTGGGTTTTCCCCATTTCATAAGCTAGTAAGGTACCCCTGGTAATTTAACATTGATATTGGTCCATTTCGATGTTTTACCGAACTTAAACATGGTGATTTTCCTTGGCAAACTATTAAATCAGAGGGTATTTCCCATTTATATCCCCCATGTTTGTTGGTTAAATCCCCAAAAGAATCACCAAATTTGGAATCCCTTGAAATTGATCCAATGAAACTCCCATGAAATCCCATGAGTTTTAAGTTGTTGGATTTAGGTGAAAAATCCCATGAACTCCCATTTTGAATGGGAAAACTCACTATAAATCACCATTTTCAATAGCTTTTTGTATGTTTACCAGAGGGTAATCAATGATTAATGGGATTTTAATGGGATTTAATGGGATATATGATGGTTAAACCTCCTATCAATGGGATATATCATGCAAACAAATCATTGGGTGGTTTCAGCCCATCTCATGCATGGTTTACCTATCAATAGCATGGTGATTTTCCATGGCTATGTTAGTCATAACCAGATGGTAGGTTAAATCCCATGACCCCTCATTTAACATCACCATTTTTGTTAAGAAATTACGAGAGGGTCAACGGGTCATGGCCGGTCATGGCCATTCTCTGGTGGTTTGACCAGGCTGAGTTCGACAAGATTGAGGCCAAATATGGCAGCCCTTAGAAGCCAGCTGCTCATGGATGCTACACAATCATGTATATACATATTCTAAGATTATGTATATATATATATTTATACACTTAAGTATATATATATAATAATATATATATATAAATATAAACATACTTAAGGATATATATATACATATATATATATACATATTGTAGGTATCTACCTATCCTATGTAGTTCACTGACTGACTGACTGACTGACTGACTGCTTGACTGACTGACCAACTAGCTGCTGACTAACCGGCTATATCTACTAACCCAACTAAACCAAACCAAGCAAACAAACTGCAGGAACTAGCTCAGTCACAAAGTCACCTATCTATCGACCTATGTCATCAAACCTAATGAAATCAATCCTCATCTAATCTGTCTTTCTATCTATGTCTGGATAATCTGTAGCGAGCTCAATGAATCAACTGTTGATTTGTGGAAACCATTACTTTGACGGCCTCAATTAGATTAGGTATGGATTAGATATTGAAT